TAGTGCTATTTCAGCGATACCGACTAATGTGTAGCTTCTTCAAGAGTAAAGGATATATACAAAATTTCAGCTCGATGTTTCAAAWAATGAGTGACTAGTTCCTCGTAGCAACCTTCATATACCCTGTTCAGGGTATACATAGGTAAACATATGCAGGCAGTTACTGTAATAATATATATTTCATGGCTGCTGATTGCGCTGTTCATACTTCCTTTTGGCCGCGTGTTTGCCTGAGGAGTTCTTTTGCTTGGATCAACATTTCCGCCATAATGACCCGCTGCTGCAAATTTAATTCGTTTCAGTCGGAAAACACTTCGAGTGCCAGTGCAATTTGGGTTTTTTATGCGCTTCCCTCTTTGTGCCACTGCGCAACCCGCTCGTGTGCCACCGCTTTTCATTGTTGTTGTTGTTATTATTATTATTATTWTTTTTTTTGACTTGGTAGCTTACATAGATGAGCGCATGAGAGTATACAACACAGCAAAATAAATTTCGCGTTTGCAGAAAAAATTGTTTTTAAAATACGCTGCCGTGCTGGCCGGAAGTGCAGCGCGCGAATGGCGGCAAATTAAAATTTGTGCTCTTTTCGATTTTTTTTTGTTTGTGCTGCAGCTTTCTGACGTGGCGTAAGCTTTATTACATAAAAATGGCAATGTTTTAAAGCACTTGCCACAAATGCTGCAAGCAAAGTGTCMCACAGGCAACTTTAATTGGACTTAAAGCAAAGTGTAAATGTAGATATATAACAAATGAAGGTGAATAAGCGTTAAATATTTTTATGTTCTCGCAACATGTTGCGCAGTTGCTTAGCGCTCCTAATGGTTGCTTGTAATTCCTAGAACTAATTGCTAAAGATATGGTGTGCTTTGTGTTGAAATATGATCACAACGGCGAGTTGAATTACAATGACAGGTTTCGAAATAGGACTATATCTCTTCAAGGCTGCCGATAGCGAGTAAATACCGAAAATGAGTAGGTATGGTAGTCCCCACTTCATAATGTATATACCGAAAATATGAGTTTATTAGCGAGAAAATAGTGGCTTATTCCTGATAATAAGATAAGCTGCTAATACAAATTAGTGTTTCAGTGCTTTTCCTGAGCTGTTCGACATTCCGYTTTATGACTTCTCAATCTCAAACTCGTTTTGCGATCTGTGGAATTTGAGAGATAAAATTTTGTACTAATAAAACTACTCAGGTAGTTTTCTAATAGCTTGACAAAGTACTGTTTGAGTGCTGTATGAGCCAGTCTCGCGCAATTTTAGTTTCGGTACTTTTGGGAGTCGAGCCCGAGCCTCATGTAAGCACTGTTTCAACTAAAGAAAACTCGCGAGTTATGGCAAAAAAAAAAAAAAACTTATGGATCTTCGGATCTATGCGGTCAACAATTGTATCGTTTTATGAAAGCAATCTTCCACGAGCGCCCGCTTTTGGCTAATAGGAGTGAAATTGTGTTCCATATCGATAGCGACTTAGAAGTTCCGGGAGTTTGTGAGGTTCTTCGGCATATACCTTATAGTTTAGACTTGTTATCAAATGGTTACTACTTGTGCTCGTCTTAGATAGAAATATTTTATAGAAAAATAATATCGAGAAGAGAGTACAGAAGGCTTTAATTGTCTTATACTGCGGCAGAGCAGCCTTTAGCAAAAGGTGGCGTCTCTGACTGAAAGTAGTTCTCTGGCTCTACCACACTTTAGTCATGTTATGATCTATGGAGACTTTATGTGAGGGAGCGAACTAGAAAATACAAGGAAGCTCGAAAACGTTCAACAAGCAGCGCTCATCCGTTTGTGTGCTGCACTAAGGTCCACTACAATTATGGCACTGAATGTCATTTTGAATTTAGTGAACGTAGATATCGCCAAGCGCCCGTATGTATAGCCGATTATATCTGTGAAAATAGCAATCAGACTCGGAGAATCTGAATTTCTAAATGAACAGGCGTTTGAACATTCGGAAATCGCACTCACACGCTTTCACTTTATATCGGATTTTTGGATCACCAAAACCAAATTCCGGTAGTTTTTTCTCTGCCCACATACTTGCAAGGGAGTTATGGGTGGATAGAAGCCGCAGCAGGAGCTTCTTTTGGGTGAAAGGTTGGTCGAATGCTATATTGGCAGAAACTCTCTATTAACTTCAGTTTTAGACCTCCTGACTAGTGCAGTGCTTTTCAGGTCGACGTTGCTGTCATTAATATAACGGTGGATTTATATCAACGGGGTACATCCTCCTTCAGAGGAATGAATTTGATAGCACAGCGGCGATTCCAGTGTAAGTAACGGTGCATTAGGAATGGATAAGGAATGCTTTACGAGTCACTTTGTGATACGACTTGTATGGATCCCAAGCTACGGAGGAATTGCAGCTAACTGACAAGCTGATGAGCTGACAAGGAAAGGTACCCTGCCCTGCTATTAGCTGAAAGGAAATAGATCGGGAATAGACTCTTCCCGTGAGCTCTACTACTGGAAACA